AATGAACATCTTCTTCATCTGTGTAAATGCAGCTTTGGTGTTCACTGATCATTGAAATACTGAGTCTTTCTTAGTGAGGTCTGTAAGTGATCTTGTGATATCTGAGAAGTTTCATATAAATTGCTGATAGAAGTTAGCAAATCTGATGAAGCTTTGTACATCTTTCACAGTATGCGGAGCTTCTCATTCAAGAATGGTGGAGACTTTCTCAGAATTCATTCAAATCCTCTTGCCAGCTTCTATAATAAAACCCAGATACTTGGTACTCTTGACTTCAAAATCACACTTGTCAATATCTATTGATAGTCCTGCTTCTTGTAGCTGTTGTAATACCTTTTGCACATGTTCTTGGTGTTCTTTTCTGGATTCATCAGTGAAGATGAGGATGTCATCTAGATAAGCAGATGCAAACTTATCAAGGAAATCTTGAAGTGCTCAGTTGATATACTTCTGAAATGTACTGAGAGCATTAGCCAGTTCAAAGAGTGTGACTATTCATTCAAAGAGGTCATAATGTGTTTGGAATGCTGTAAGCCATTCATCTTCTTCAGTGATACAAATCTTATGAAACGCGGTGATGATATCTAGTTTTGTAAACCATTGAGCTCGCCTGATTCATGCTAGGGTTTCATTGATGAGAGATAAGAGATATCAATCTTTCTTTGTCAATCTGTTCAGATCTCAGTAGTCTACACAGAATTGAAGTTCTTCACCTGGTTTCTTTGCAAAGAGAATAGAGGCTGTGGTAAAAGAGTTACTAATGTGTATGAATTCTTTATTCAACAGATCATTGAGTGTCTTTCAAAGAAGAAGGAGTTTGTCTTGAGACATGCTATAAAGAGGACCTCATGGCAGTTCAGAGTTCTTATCATTCTTTTTCTCTAACTTGATACTGTGATTCACTTCAGGACCTTGTAAGAGGGGTATGTTTGTAATATTGTCTTGTTGAAAGACATCTAGATATTTGTGATATTGTTGAGAGAGTTTTGTACAAGGATCTGTTGTTGTAACACGGGATAACTTTTCTAGGGTCTTTTTGATATCAGTCAGACTGGTGGAATAGATTGATACATGGTCTTGCTGTCAGCAACTCTGTCAGTGGTTTTGATGATGACTTCTTTTTCAGAGTATTTTGTATGTGTTGGCAGAGATCTGTGTCAGATCCATGGTCTTGTGAATGTCATTTTCATGGACTCTATCATTGTTAGGGAATATCAAGCTTCTGTTTTGAGCATTCAATAAGATGCCTTGTTCAGATAGCCAGGCAAGTCCTAACATAAGATCATAATCAAGATTATCAACTTCATACATGTAGGCATCTTCATGTTGATGTTCTTCTACATCTATGGTCAGCTTCACCATGTAATGGGTACAAATGTCTTTTGAACCATCAAATCCTGTGAGGAGTCGGGGTTTTGATAGAGGGATATGCTGGAGGTTATGATGTCTTACAACTGAAGATTTTATCATTGCATAGTGGCATAGATCACTGTCTATCATGGCCTTCATATTATACATGTTATTAATCACAGTGGATACAAGAATCACATTCATTGTCATCTTCTCTTCAAATTATTATTGTCTGACCTCTTCAAGCTTCTGTTTGTGAATTTGAACAGGAGCTAATCTTTTCTCTATTTCACTGAGGCATTCTCATAGTTATTCTCTGAATCTTTCTCTAATGCAATGTGGTTGGCGCGGACAGGCACTGATTCATCCTTTGAATGAGGAGGTACAAAGGTTGATTGACAGTTGAAAGCAATGTGTTCTGGTCAGTTACAGTTGATACACACTCTACATTGACATTGATCAGTGACTTCTTCAGGAGTGATCTCAGGGACTCAGAAGCCTGTTTGAATGGTGAAGACCCTTGCTTGTGTATAGATATTCAAGTCTACTTAATTCATGGCATCTGCATCATTGTTATTCCTCAGCGTGGGTGTATGAGTTGCTGGGGTGTAATGTCTTCTATCACTGTTCTGTATATTCTTGAGCTTGATAAGACAGTCATTCATTGTCCAGAGCTGTGTGTAGAAGCCTTCATAAGTTAAGTCTTCATCTGTGCTTACAAGGGCCTGTAAGAGTTTGAAAGTCAATGTCTTCTTGAGCATGCTAATCTTTATTTGATCCTCTCAAGACTGATCACCTGCTTCTAGAATCTTGGTGTTGAAGTCAGGGATGAATGTTGTAAGAGGAGTGTTTCTCTGTTGAGTGCTCTGTAACCAATCTAATGCTTTCTGTTGCATAACAGTGTCTTGAAACAGAATATCAAGATATTTCATGATATTGTCAGGTGTTTGCAACACTGATTTGCATGCTTTCATTCATGGATGAAACTTCTGTTTCATGTGATCCTTCAATTGTTCATTGATATATCAACCTTGATTGGTTAATGAACTGATGGAATCTCCATCTACACTCAGTTTCATGAGCATTTCCATCCTTCATGATGAGTAGAGAGTGAGGTTGAAAGCATTGAAATATGCAGGGGCATCTAAGTGTTCTTTCAGTGCTTTTGTATTCAATTCTGTAGATGTTGGGATCATGTGGGTTCCTTGTTGTGATAATCATTGAATCTCTTCATATTGGCATTGTTGAGTTGCATGCATATCAGCTATTTGTTGTTGTTGTAGTTTCAACATTGCTTGGAGCCACTGTGGCACTGCGTCTATGTTCATGTTTGAGGGTTTCATATTATTGTTAGACATGGTTATATTGATTGTTGAATGTATGATATCTGTGGGATCTGAAGAAGTGTAATTGTATTTTTATATGTCTGAGTGTCAGAACTCTCAGGTCTTTCACTGACATTCTCTTGTAAGATCTTATTCTCTTTGTAAGATCTTGTTGCAGGGCCAGGGTGACTGGCAAGCAAGCTTCTATCTGGGGACTATCTGGGGACTCAGTGTCTGCTTAACTGTTTGACTGTTTCTCTATTTCTTACACATTGTTATGCGTTCGGATATCTCTTGATGAATAATTGTTTCTAATAAGGAGATGATGAATGTTTTTATAGTGTAAGGGGCCTGCACTGAATAGATTGGTATAATATTATAGGTCTTATATAACAAAGATAAAAATGTTAGAGAAGGAAAGAAAGAGAAAGTGCAAGAATCAGTGATTGAGATGGATATTTATACGCGTATGTGGTGGTGTACGTGGTGGAGCTTCGGGGTGGAAGAATATACATGTGTTTGTAGCGGCTGAGGATCAGTGATTGAGAATGGCTGAGAATCGGAGCATACACTACACGCGTTCGTAGCGGCCGCGGATCGGCGATCAGGAGTGGCCGAGAATCGGAGCGTACACTACGCGCGTTCGTAGCGGCCGCGGATCGGCGATCGGGAATGGAAGAATCTATGGAGTGTAATGGAATAGTCTATATGATTGATCGGGCGCAGCCCGCCACAGATTTCAATATAAGATTTGAAGAATATTGAGAGAAATTGACTAATGATTTAAATTAATTAAAAATATAACTTTATCTTATAAAGCTGACTTATAAGATACAGATAATAATATTATAATATCAGAGTTCATTAATTAATTACACTGAGCTTGTCAATCTAGCTTTTCAGATCTATTTGAATAATCAATTCTCTGAGAAAAAGATTAATAAGACTTCTTCTAAGTAATTAATAACAGAATTTAAACAGTATTATAACAGCTTCAGTATAGAGAAAGTAAAGAAGAATTTCAAGTATTCTGATTCTTCACTCACTGTGAAGAAATATTAAAAAAGATTTAACAAAGATCTGTATTTTAACTGCAGAGCTGATAATCACTATATCAGTGATTGTAAGAAGCTGAAGAAGAGAAGAAACTGAGAAGATATCTTCTCAAAGTTAACTTCTCTTCTAACAAATGTATTCATAGAAGATAAAGAAGAGAAAGAAATGAAGAATTGATAATTCTCATATCTCTGAGTTCATATTACAAGCACAATGTATACTCTGAATGAGAAGATACTAGTGAGATGTCTACTTGACTTCAGAGTGAATATTAACTTCATATTCTATTTCTTTTCTTTGATGAAGAATTGAAAGAAGATAGATTCATCAGATCATGTGAAATTTACAGATGAAATAAAATGTCATTATTTTGACATAATTCAAGCAAAGTGTGTGATCACAGACTCAGAAGAAATCTTTAAGAAGAGTAGTCTACTTCTTCATACAGTTAATATCATAGATGAGAATATTATTCTAGATCTTCTGTGATTGAGAGAAAACAATTCTCTCATTAACTGAGTCACTCAGATGTGACAGTACTGTCTCACTAATAAAGAGACAGTGATAGAGAAATCTGAAGAGTTTCATTGAAAGAATCTTGAGAAAAAGATTGAGTCAATATACTGTGTAGCAGATGATTGAGACTTGAGAACAGATGAAGAAGTCATCACTCTCACTACAAGATTAGCAGCAGTATCTGTCATTGAAGACAGACATACATAATGTCTCTTTACAGATTTTAAGAATGTCTTTTCAGAAAGGGAAGCAGCAAAGTTTCCTGACATCAAGGTGTGACATAAGATTCGCCTTGAAGACGGTGCAACGGTGCTGTACGGGCCCCTTTACAACTTGTCTGTAAAGGAATTGGATGTTCTGCGCAAATATCTTGAAGAAGCGCAATCAAAGAACTGGATACGTCCATCAAAGAGTCCGGCAGGGGCGCAACGGAAACAACGGGAGTGGGAGGAGGGGCGGGTGCACAAAATCCCCCCCTCCTTCAGCTGCTTAGCGCAGCGCAGGCAGGTGGCGGTGCCAGCCAGAGGCCGCACCGGAGCCTCCCCACAGAGAGAAGGCAAAGGAACCGCGGGATCCTGTGGACCCAACTCAGCAGCATCCTGAGCAGGGCTCGGGCGTGCTGCGGGAGGGAAACTATGGATTGGGCTTCTCAGAGCCACTGTCCCTGGAACCAAGCTCTCCCCGGGTTCCTCTCTGAATGACCACACGGGGTCATACACCACTGTATTGACTGGGGGGAGGGGCAGTGTTGCAATGGCAGCGGGGGGGGCGGGGGACAGACTGGACACAGACAAACTGACTGACAGAAGGGATGACATCTCACTGCAGGGTATGACAACTATCACTGCAGCTGCAAAAGAAGCAGGAGGAGAAGAAGATGTGACAATGAGAGCAGTGCTTCTGCAGCTCATTGACACTGTCATCTCTGTCTTCAACCTGGCTTTCTTGATGGCCATGAAGGCTGCCGCCGCACCATGAAGACATTTACTCACTAGAAAATATCAGAATAAGTCCTCTACTGTTCTTCAAGAATAATACTCTTATGCACTCACTATTACAGATGAGAGAGAAGAGAGAAAAATATATTATAGAGAGAAAGAATCTTTTTAAAAAAATCCTATCACTACTGTTAGCTTTGTCTCTAAAACACATCACTTTTATAGAGAATTTTATATATAGAACAGAATATATTGAAAGATCTGTAAGTCACTTATTAATTACATTTTTCACATTTCAAATTGATATATAAGAAACTCACTTATCACTTGTTTAATTTGAACAAAGATGAGAAAAGAAAGATTTATACAGTCAGTAGAATAACTCATCTATTTCTTTATATAGTATACACACTGTTAATCAGTTGACAATTATTGTTATATAACAAAGATAATTTCTAATTCAGTAATCTTGAGAGCATCAGAGCTATACTCTTAAAGAAGAGAGTATTATCACACTTTCAGCTATGTTAAGACTCTGTTACAGTTTCACACAGCTCATCACTTTTATATAAATGATTTCATTTTATTTAAACTGATTTTCAATCACTCTATGATATTATTTAAATATATTATAGAAAGATCTGATTAATGAATATAAGAATCTCACTTCTATACAAGATTAGCAGATTACTCTTTCTTGATAATAAGACATTACTGAGATATCACTCTGACTATTCTTATCTGTGAAATAAAAGAAGAGTATTCACTCATTGTCTATATAGAATAGCTAGATACTGACTTTTTATTAAAGAAGTCAGTGATTCATTTTTCTTCTACTGAAATATATATAAGAGTTACTGCATATCTTATACAATCTTCTTAGTATACTAAGTATCATATCTGTGATATTCTTACAATAACTCTGTAGTCTACAAGCTCACTATTCAAGCAAGATAGTCAAGCTCACTTATACAGCTTCTCAAAACAACTACTTTTATATGACACTGTCAACTAGTCACTGCTTCGGTTCTGTCATGTTACAGTCACTGCTGCAGCCTCTACACATCTACATCTATCATGAGAATAGAGACATTAAGATTAAAGATTCTCTGAGATATAAGAGAAATATTTTATCTGAATTTCACATCTTTATCTATACTCTTGAACAGAAATTCCACCTTAATCTGACCTAGTATAATACTCATGAGATATAAGTAATATACACTGTCAACCTTCTTGAAGACATCTCTGTGACTACTTGAGTTATCAAGAAAAGAGAGCTTGAGCATATCAATATCATTATAACTTGAGAAGAATTTAAGAACTTTCTACTGAATTAAATTGAAGATCACTGCAATTATAGCTTCACAGCAGTACAGCAGTTTAACTCATTATATTAATAAGATAATAAGAATTCTTTCAATTTTCATACAAGATTTGAATAATATTGAGAGGAATTAACTGATGATTTGAATCAATTAATAACACAGCTTTATCTTATAAAGCTGACTTATAAGATGCAGATAATAATATTATAATATCAGAGTTTATCAATTAATTGTACTAAGCTTGTCAATCTGACTTTTCAGATCTATTTGCATAATTAATTTTCTGAGAAAAAGATTAATAAGATCTCTTCTAAGTAATTAATAATAGAATCTTAAAGATACTGTGACAGCTTCAGTGCAGAGAAAGTAAAGAAGAATTTCAAGTATTCTAATTCTTCACTCACTGTGAAGAAATATTAAAAAAGATTTAATAAAGATCTCTATTTCAACTGTGAAGCTGATAATCACTATATCAGTGATTGTAAGAAACTGAAGAAGAGAAGCAACTGAGAAGATTTCTTCACAAAGTTAACTTCTCTTCTGATAAATGTATTTACAGAAGATAAAGAAGATAAAGAAATAAAGAATTAATAATTCTCACATCTTCAAGTTTATGTTACAATTATAATATATACTCTGAATGAGAAGATACTAGTGAGATGGCTACTTAACTTCAGAATGAAGATTAATTTCATATTCTATTTCTTTTCTTTAATGAAGAGTTAAAAGAAGATAGATCTGTCAGATCATGTAAAATTTACTAATGAAATAAAATATTATCATTTTAACATATTTCAAGTGAAGTATATAATCACAGACTCTGAAGAAATCTTTAAGAAGAGCAGTCTGCTTCTTCACACAGTTAATATTATAGATGAGAATGTCATTCTAGATCTTCTGTGATTAAGAGAAAACAATTCTCTTATTAACTGAGTCACTTAGATGTGATGATACTGTCTCACTAATGAAGAGACAGTGATAGAGAAATCTGAAAAGTTTCATTAAAAGAATCTTGAGAAAAAAATAGAGTTAATATACTGTATAGCAGATGATTGAGACTTGAGAATAGATGAAGAAGTCATCACTCTTACTGCAAGATTAGCAGCAGTATGTATTATTAAAGACAGATGTATACAACATCTCTTTACAGATTATAAGAATATCTTTTCAGAAAGGGAAGCAGTGAAGTTTTCTAATATCAAGATACAATATAAGATTTGTCTTGAAGACAGTGTAATTATGCTGTACAGACTTCTTTATAACTTGTCTGTAAAGGAATTGAATGTTCTGTGCAAATATCTTGAAGAAGTGCAATTCAAGAACTGAATATACTTATCAAAGATTTCAGCAGAAGTATCTATACTCTTTATATTTAAGAAGAATAATAGACTATATCTATACATAGACTACAGAGATCTTAATAAGATGATGATTAATAATTACTATTTATTATCATTGATTAACAAGATAATTGATCAATTATCTGCAGCAAAGATATTCTCAAAGATTAATATACAGAATGTCTATCATAGAATCAGAGTTAATAAAGATGATGTTTGAAAAATGACTTTTCATACTAAGTACAGCAATTTTGAATATCTTGTTTTACCTTTTGATCTTTGAACACTTCAGTCATCTTTCAGACTTATATAAATAAGACATAGTGAGGCTATGTTGATATCTTCTGCATAGTATACCTGAATAACATTCTAATCTTCTTGAAATCTGAGAAAGAACATGATACTCATGTTTAAGAAGTAGTGAGTTACTTGAGATAGTATCAACTCTATACAAACACTGAAAAGTGCTCATTCTACATACAGAAGATTGATTTCTTAGATTATATTATTAAGATGAATGACATTTCAATGAATAGAAGTCAGGTCTCTGCTATTGAAAACTAGTCAGCACTGTAAACATATTATGAGATATAGATGTTTCTAGAATTTGTGAATTTCTATAGATAATTCATCTATGTATATTCACAGATTACTGTCTCTCTTACAGATCTATTAAAGAAAAGTGTGAAAGATAGAAAAACAGAACTGTTTACTCTCACTCAAGACACTGCACAGATATTTACAGAATTGAAACAAGCTTTCATAGATGTTATAATACTGAATTACTTTAACTCTGACTTACTCAGTCAGTGTGAGACTGATACATTCAGAAATAAAGTCTGTGAAATCTTTTCACAGTTGATATCAGAGATCTTTCAATGTTGAAAGAATTAGAGAATAATTATCTCTCAGAAAATAAATAATGAATTATCTGTGAGAGAAGACTTTTTCACAAAGTCTATAAGATACTGTAAATGAAGATCAGTGATCTTCTTCTTCAAGAAGTTATCACTTATACAGAGAAGATATGATACTTATAATCAGAAGATGTTAATAATTATCAAATTCTTTAAGATCTGATACTATTATCTTCAGAATAGTAAGTACTCAGTACAAGTTCTCACCGATTATACAAATCTGCATTATTTCTTAATAATAAAGAGCTTGACAGAATATCAAGTCAGATGAGCAGAGCTGTGTTCAGAGTATAATTTATATATCTGATACTGTTCAGATCAGCTTAATCTCACTAATATACTATTTAAACAGCTTAATTATAATATCATTGATATGAAGAAGAATTCTATAAAAGAATCTCTGTCATCACTGCAGAAGAAGCTGACTGCAGAGAGTTAAAATTCTCTGAAGCTCAGAAACAGCACTGATAAAGCAGCTGCATGATTCAGTATAGAAGATGAAAGAAAACCTGAGTCTCTGCAGAGAACTGACACTCAAGATTATAAGCTTCTTATATTATATCTTACTATTATTAAATTGATAAAGAATGAAACAGTCTATAATCTTTTAACTCAATTACTTTTAAAATTCATTCATAAGTTACAGAAGAGAGATATCTCTACTACAGCTTAAATTCAGAAGTTGAAGAAGAAAGAATTCAGTTTAAACTTGAAAGAGACAGACTCTGAGTGAGATGATACTGCTAAGAAATCAAGTCACTAATAACTAGAAGAATATGAACATCTACTACTGAATGATTCAGTCTTCATCTCTTATAGTAGAGCAGTGTGCTAAAAGTTATTGAGAATTCATTCTAATAATTCTTATACAGGACATTTCAGATTAGAGAAAACTGAGAAGCTTCTAAAATATAAATACATTTAAGACAAGCTTCAGATAGATGTCAAAAAGTATATTAAGACTTATAATATCTACTAAAGAATAAAGATTTTATGATATAAGTAATATAGTAAGTTGATATCACTATCTGTTTCAAAGAGCCTATAACAGAATCTATCAATGAATTTCATAGTTAATGTACTGAAGTTGACAAGAGTCAAAGAATATAACTTAATTTTAATTATTATTAATTACTTTATAAAGATAATCAGATATATTTCTACTTATAAAAAGATTAAAGTCTCCGAATTGACTGATTTATTTTTAGATATTATTATTTATGATTACAGTGCTTCAAAATTATTAATAATAGATCAAGAATTCCTCTTTATCAGTAAATACTGATCAGCTTTTTATTATTATCTTATAATAAGATGTCTTCTCAGTACTGCATTTTATTCACATACAGATAATCAGACTGAATATCAGAATCAGACACTAGAACAGCATCTTTAAGTGTTTTATTTATATTATCAGAATGATTAGCTTAAACATCTTCTAATCACTGAATTCAT